CATTTGCTCCTTGGTATCAAACCATTCTATCTTTTTCAAATTTGGCAATTACAATATAGGTAAAGCACTTGCAATCATAAAATACTTTAAAAAAATAAAATAAGTAAAATCCAATTATCAATAACTGACTGCAGCTATTCTTCATTGGATCCTTTTTGAAACTCATGGCCAGACAAACAGTAATCTAAGAGCTTGACTCTTTAACAGGGATCCAACTTTAGCCTCATTAGTTCAAAGGAGTTTTCCGTTAGTCCATAATAATTAAGAAATAATTGTTGCAAGCTATACTTTATTGTAGTTTTAACATGGGTAGGCATTATATACGTGATTATTTTTGCCTGAGCGATAGCATACAATCAGTTCTGTTAACCAAGCAGTTTTAGATTTTTATTAGACCCTGTTTCAGACTTAAGGGATTTAATCACTTAAAAAGTTAAAGATTACCAGACTATTTTAGGTTTTACTGCTTCTGGTTCTAATCCATTTAAGGAACCAATGATTCTGGAGAGTGCACTAACCTTGCCTCAGTCCATTATTGTCAAGATATCAGTGATTTTCCTTTTTTTCTGACAAAAGTCATTGGAAGTAATCTTACATAAAACAAATTTTGATATACAACCAATCAAAAATGCTATCATAAATAATCTGGGAACAAAAAATTTTACTTTTTCAATTGTAAATTTTGCTACTATTTTTCTTTTAAGTATATAACTAAAGTAAAAAGTAAAAATCTATTTTATTGAAGTATTACGTGCCATTTGAGTTTTGAAATTAATTTAAATTATAAAGTATTGAAATTAATTTTTATTATAAAGAATCAGTATTTATATCATTTCTTTGAGTTCTTAATTTTTTCTTTCTAAATTTTTTTTATAAAATCTAAAGATTTCATACTTGATACATGTAATATCATTTTGCATCATATTTGTATTTTTTCATTTCAGCTTCTTTTTCTTGTACCACTGAAACTTCACAGAATAATATTGCATACATTTTGAAGTTGTGTACCTGCTTATATGAAATTGTTTGAGGAATTTCCCCCCATTTTTCCCTTAATTCTGATCTTGATGATTGTTTTCCAAAATTTTCAAAGATGGTACTGATTTTGTGTAATCAACTCCTGCAGTTTTCAATCTCAATCTTTTTAACTTCACACAATGATTGTACAAATATTTAAGTTGTTCACTTTGGTACTATGGAATTGTTTGATAATTTTTTTCCTGACTTGGGAACTAAGTAATTTTTCATCAAAGGTAAAATAAATAGTTTTTAACCCATATCTTTTGGAATTCACAGAGAGTTTGCAAATCTATAGAGGCTTTTACAAATTTTGGGACTATACATGACTACTATGTACATGAGTAGTAAACCTTGAAAATGAGATATTTTTTATTAAACTATGCTTCAAAATATTTAAAAAATGTTGATTTATATGTGTTTATTATACTATTACTACACTGTACTTTTTTTCTTACATTTGTATAAGTACAAATGTATTTTCATATCAGATGTCTGGTAACTTATATAAAAGCTATTGTCTAGAGCTCTGTAAATAAAAAAAAATGTAAACATAGTTCTAAAATATACTTTTAATGAGTGGAAGAAATTGTGGGGTACAGAATACATTTCGTAAATTATCAAAATACAAGTTAACTGTTTAAAAGCATGTCTGGTATTTTTACAGTACTTTTTAAAAAAATTATTTGTATTTTAAGTTGAGAATTTCTTCAGTTTCCATGATTGGAAAAATAATATGAGATGCCTTGGAACATTCTGGTGACTATTGACTATTGTACTTTTTATAATGTACAATGGAAGGACATTTCATTACTTAGATAAAATGGATTCAGTGGACTGATTAGCATAAAAAACTATGATGGAAAACCTTTGAAAGCAGCCAGGATAGCAGCTCCAAGGAAGATGGTCAAATAAATCTTCAACCAAGTCTGAGGCTTTACCAAGAAATTAAGAAGGCAAGTTTATTTAAGCCAAATATTTGTATACATTTTCTAGAAATATTCGACAAGAAGTGCATATTAAGACAACACGCCAGCACCCTTCTGATCTTCTGCATGCAAAACACCATTGATGTATTAATTTTAATAAGTTTTAAAATTTAAGTTACCGTTTTCTTGAACAAGATTTTCGATCAAAATATTTAAAACTTCAAGGGGAGACAAGTACAATTAACAGCAAGATTTGTTCATTCAATGGGATATAACTGTTAAATTTGCACATCACTTTTGTGCAGTTAAATTCCAAACAAAAACCTTTGACTTGTTTTATTTTTATTATGTCAAGTTTTCTGTTTAGTCAGGTTAATAGTTACTCCTTGCTATGGATCAATGACATTTTGTATTTATTTGCATTACTAACAAATTATCGAATTAATTAGCAATGTTGCTAATCATCAGATGTTTTTCATTTTCCGTTGCTAGGCGAGACATCTCTGTCAACAGTTTATCTTACAAACTTGTGTTGAGACTATTGTGTACATTTTGTAAGAAATCAGAACATTACATTGTATATAGTGACTTCATATTTATAGAGAAATGGATTTGTAAAATATATAATATCTTTTTTTTAATTCTTTTTAGGTTCTTCTGTGATATGTTTTCATGGTGTGGGAATAAGACTTGGTGGTCTAATACAGCTAATACGAAGGTATGTACCAGTATGTTAGTCCTGTTTTGAAAAAAGAAAAAGTATTATAAAATGTATTTGGAAATAGCATGTGCTCTAAGCGTGAAGGTTTGTAGGAGTTTGGTAAGAAGTCTTTGCTTTCTTTAATTGCCTTTAAAGGAGTAAATTTAATTATCTGATTTATGTAAAAGTTTGTTGGGATGCTGGTTTGCTGTTCTCAACTTCTATTACATATTTATAGACTTTTATTTAATTTGCCACTGGACATTTAGCAACCAACAATCAAATGAATCAATAATTCAAAATATGGAATATACATACAGTATATCAAAAATGATCCTTTTAAACAATCTTGAATGACTAATCATTTTATTTTTCAGGTTAGCATCACAGCTTGTCTGTAAAGATTGAAGCTGGGAGTGGGCATTGGAGCCGACTTTTATGGTAAGAACCAATACAAAAAAAAACAATATGTAAAAAAGTAATATGTTAGACATCTACCATTGACTTGTTTTTCATCCTTTTCTGCTAATAAAGACTGGTAGTTCAAAAAATATATCCGCAAATCACTTTTAAACAAAGTAAGAGAAAGGTTTTATGAATCATGATTATAATGACCAGTTATTTATTATTTTGCATTTGATATTGTTTCAATTTTCAGATTTTGACAATTACGTTTAATTCTGTATATTTCTTTTTCAGGTAACTGTGGCTGCATAAAAGGGCTATGTGATTTTACTGTAACAGTAAAGAATGTAATTCAGACTATTTTTGTGTATGTTTGAGAAAATGTTTATAATTTTTACAAAAAGAAAAAAAAAAAATTATGTACAGGTTCTCCATTTTCAACAAGATTGGAAGTTGTAGGTTAATAGGTCTTTGAAATTTCAAAAATTACTTTCTATTTTCTGTTCATACTCATGTCTAGGCAAAACACTTCCAGAAGTTTAAGAATGGAGAATCTAAAAAAAAAGAAAAAGAAAATAAAAGAAAAAAAGAAAAAGAAAAAAATGTTCAATTATTGAAATGTTTTTTATTTTTGCAAATTGTAATATATTTTTTCACCTTTGTGTCATTTTTAGCTGAGTTTATAACAAAGGGTATATTATTTAAAGAATATTTTACAAGAAGCATAGTTGAAGAATGTTTTGATGAAAGTAGATTGATTGATTTTTGGTATTTAACACCACTTTCAGCATGAATTGCTATATCTTGGCTGCCAGTTTTTATTTGTGGAGACAGCCTGGTGAAAACATCCCCTTCAACAGAGAAACTGGCAACTCTAGTCAATTAAGATTGACGTTAAACACACCTTCAATGTGAGGGTTCAGAGTGTTGACAGGCTAGTGATACAGTAGTTGAACTACTTTGACCATTCAGCCACCATTACTCCATCCACACTAAATATGTTATTGAAATGTGTTGAATTTTTGTGATTTAATTATTTTTTTATTTTGATTACCGGTATACTATTTATGTTTTTTTGTTATATATAACAAAGATGTGGAGTTCTAACAGGGTGAAATTTAGGTCAAAGGGAGGTAATTTATTATACTGTGTTTAACTTCAAATACTTGAAATTCCCTCAATGTTAGATTTTTATTTACTGGGATACTCACATTTATGCACTTTTTTACATATCAGATGTTTTCTAGATAATAGAAATTTAGGCTGGGAAAAATTATGTCACTTAAAATAATTATGTGAAATTTTTCAAAAAGTTTATTAATTGAAAGTGCATCTGATATTTTTATGTATGTTACTTTATTTTCTAAAAACAAATGGACACAACATAGATTGACAATAAGATATTGAGAAGAACCACCTTGTCAGCCAGGATAGCAGCTCTTAGGAAGATGGTCAATTAAATCTTCAACCAAGTCTGACTCTTTACCATGAAAATGGAAAAGGCAAGTTTATTTTAGCCAGATCTTTTAAGATAACAGACCCTTCTGAAATATTGCATTTAAAACACCATTGATGAATTAATTGACCAGTTTAGTATTAAAGATACAAGATACATGAACAAGATTTTCTATTAAAAGATCAATAGCAAATCCTAAAAATAGTGTTTAAACTTCAAGAAAAGACCAGTACAATTTAAAAAACGATTTTGCATTCAATGGGAGATAACTTTGTAAAATATTTAGATATTTTTTTGTGCAGTTAAATTTAAATCTGACGTTTTTTTACTTTTCTATCTTTTATATTGATTTAAAAAAAAAAGATTTTAAACAATCGTCTACCTGCAATAAGAAATCAGAACAATATTTAGTAAATTTTAGGTTATCGGTAACACATAAATTGATTTACAAAATGTATAATGTGTTGATTATAATTTCATTTCAGGCTCTTTCTGAGACATGTTTTCATGGTGTGGGAATAAGACTTGGTGGTCTTTTACAGCTAATACAAAGGTATGTACCAGTATGTTAGTCCTGTTTTGGAAATCTCAAATGTATTATAAATATTTTATGGAAAAACAAGATTTGAACACTTAAAAGATTTTTTACAGGAATCTACTCATTATTATATCAGTAACCAAATAAGAGTAAAGTTTAGGATCTGAATTGTTTACATAAAAATGTGTTGGCTTGTTGGATTGCTGTCTCATCCATATGTTCTTGACATATATAACACATTTTAAGACTATTTCTATTTAATGATTTGCCACTGGACCTTAAGCAACCAACAACCAATCATTCAATCTATTCAATATACATACATAATACCAACAAAGAACCTTTTAAACAGTTTTTATACGCCCGTTTACGGGACGTATTATGGTATACCTTTGTCCGTCTGTCCGTCCGTCGTCAACATGTCGGACATTAACTCAAAAACGCTTTATCCAATTTGCATAAAACTTTGGTGCATTGTTTATATCTATTGATGTGAGCTCCCTTTCGTTTTTTATAAATTTTAGATTTTACGTTATTGAGTTATGGGGTTTTATTCATTAAAAAAAAGGGGGGTTTTCCAGTTTTCGGACAATAACTCGAAGAATGCTTTCACCAACTTGCAAGAAATTGTGGTGAATTGTTTATATCTATTGACATGAGCTCCCTTTCGATTTTTATAAATTTTAGATTTTACGTCTCCGAGTTACAGGGTTTTATAAATGAATTATCATTTTATATTTCAGGTTAGCATCACAGCTTGTCTGTAAGGATTGAAGCTGGGAGTGGGCATTGGAGCTGACTTTTATGGTAAGAATCAATACATAGATTTATGAACTTTTCATCCAAGAGTATTTTAAAGCCCAAGATTTTTGTTAGGCACAGATGTAAATCTTTTTTTTACATATTAATGTCTTCTTTACTTATAGTTGAATAAACAATTTAGAAGGAGATATAAAGATATATAAGGGAAGTCAAAAAGTATAATGTATAATGCGAAATCTTGGGATTTCAGTTTTTTGTTATCTATAGTTGTCCCCATATATGAAAATATGTAAGTGTGGTATGTATATGCCAATGAGACAGCTATCAACCAGAGACCAAATGATGAGGATGCAACTAAATGTCACCCTATGCCTTCAACAATGAGCAAAACCTATATTGTATAGTTAGCTATATAGGTTCAACATGACTAAATGTTAAAAAATTCAAGTATGTTAATAGCCTGATATACTATATATAGCTATAAAACAAAGTTAAAAAGATATTTGTCAGGACATCAGCCAATGACTTGTTTTTCATCCTTTTATTGCTAAGAAATACTGGTACTTTAAAATTTATGTCAACAAATCACTTTATAACAAAGAAAAAGAAATGTTCTATACATTATAATTGTAATGCTCAGTTAATTATAATTGTTTTGCATTAAATATTATTTCAGTGTTCATGAGTAATGTATATTTCTTTTTCAGATAAATGTGGCTGCATAAAATGGTTGTGTGGGATATAACTGCAACAGTAAAGAATGTAATTCAGACTATTTTTATGTATGCTTGAGAAAATGTTTATAATTTTTTTACAAAAAAAAAAAAAAATATGTAAAGATTCTCCATTTTCAACAAGATTGGAAGTTGTAGGTTAACTTGTATTTGACATTACAAAAATTCTTTCTATTTTCCGTTTATACTCATGTCTAGTCAAAACACTTCCAGCAGTTTAAGAATGGATAATCTAAAAGAAAAAGAAAGAAAAAAGAAAAAAAAATGTTCAATTATTGAAATGTATTTTTTTTTTGCAAATTGTAATGTATATATTTTTGCCATCTTTTTGTTATTTTAGGATTTGAGATACTTTCAAATTTTACAAGTTACTTTATACATGTAGTTAATGCAATTAAATCTGCCGATGTGAATATTGCCACTAAATTTCTTAGCAAAAATTTTAATTATTTTTGTTTTTTTTAGCAATGTTTCAAAATACCTTACCATAGCAAATGCCTCTCTAGTGTAAACTAAAAAGATGATGAATGGTCTGCAGTAAATAAATCCCCTTACAACCTTTTCTTTCATGTTAATTTTAATATCTTTAAGATATGTGACAAGGGTGCTCAAATGCAGAGGAATTTACGAAGTTTAATTAAAGAAGTTGGAAATATATTTTTTGCACTTTTTTTGTCATTTTTAGCTGATTTTGGTTTGTAACCAAGGTGATATTTTTTAAAGAATAATTTTACAAAAGATATAGTTGAAGAACATCTTGTTGAAATTGGATTGGTTGATTTTTGTCGAGCCTTCGACTTTTGTCGAAAAAGCGAGACATAGCGATCCTACATTCCGTCGGCGTCGTCGGCGGCGTCCACAAATATTCACTCTGTGGTTAAAGTTTTTGAAATTTTAATAACTTTCTTAAACTATCCTGGATTTCTACCAAACGTGGACAGAAGCTTGTTTATGATCATAAGATAGTATCCAGAAGTAAATTTTGTAAAAAAAAAAATTCATTTTTTCCGTATTTTACTTATAAATGGACTTAGTTTTTCTGCCAGTTAACATTACATTCACTCTGTGGTTAAAGTTTTTGAAATTTTAATAACTTTCTTAAACTATCCTGGATTTCTACCAAACTTGGAAAGAACCTTGTTTATGATCATAAGATAGTATCCAGAAGTAAATTTGGTAAAAAAAAAATTCCATTTTTTCCGTATTTTACTTATAAATGGACTTAGTTTTTCTGCCAGTTAACATTACATTCACTCTGTGGTTAAAGTTTTTAAAATTTTAACAACTTTCTTAAACTATCCTGGATTTGTACCAAACTTGGACAGAAGCTTGTTTATGATTAAAAGCTAGTATCTAGAAGGAAATTATTTTCCATTTTTTCCGTGTTTTACTTATAAATGGACTTAGTTTTTTTTCCAGTTAACATTACATACAGTCTGCAGTTTAAGTTTTTAAAACATTTCCTGGATTTTTACCAAACTTGGACAGAAGCTACTTACAATCAAAAGATAGTATAGAGAGGAATATTTTTATTAATTTTTTTCCTCATTTTTGTTGAGCCTGTGATTAACAGCAAAAGTAGGCGAGACACTGGGTTCCGCGGAACCCTTACGAATTTTTGGTGTTAAACACCACTTTAACATGATTTACTATAATTTTGGCTGTAAATTTTTATTTGTGGAGACAGCCAGAGTGCCTGGTGAAAACATCACCTTCATCAGGGAAACGGGCAAACCTTAGTCAAATTAAGAATGAAGTTACACATTTCATGTGAGGGTTTTCAGTGTTGACAGGCTAGTGATACAGTAGTTGAACTACTTATAGGACCACTCTGCCACCATAAGTGGATCAGTACGAAATATTTTATTGAAATGTGTTAGATTTTTGTTATCAATCTATTTTTTAATTTTAATTGTACTATTTTATTTATTTTGTTTAATATAACAAGGATGTGGAGTCCGAACAGGGTGAAATTTGGGTCAAAGGGAGGCAATTTATTATACCCCTGTTTAACTCCACATACTTGAAATTCCCTCAATGTTAGGATTTTCATCTACTTGGATATTCATGTTTGTACTTTTTTTTTAATATCAGATGTATACTAGCTAATATTGACTATTATTTAGAGCTCTGTAATAAAAAAAAATAAATGTAAGCAGAGCTCTAGATAATAAGTATGCAGGGTGGGAGAAATCCTGGGTCATTAACAATTGATTTGCTGAAATTTTCAAGAAAGGGGATTTATTGGAAATGCATCTGATATATTTAATGTATAAAAACTTTATTTAAAAAAAAAAGATGTTAAGATGATGAGGAGAGCCACCTTGTCAGCCAGGAGAGCAGCTCTAAGGGAGATGGTCAATTTAATCTTCACCAAGTCTGAGGCTTTACCATGAAAAATATGTGGTAAGTTTATATATTGCACAAATTTTATGGTAATAATATATATATATAGGCATTTAACATTATTTTTTAAGGGTTCTTTTCTATCAGTGTTTGATTTTTAGAGTATCTAGTCTTACATTTGTTTTCTGTCTGGTATCGAGTGAGCTGTGTTGGATAGAAACCAACTGTATGCAAGTTATTATCAATGAATTTGTCAACTTATTTGGGTCGAACAAATTTTTATGCAAAGTCCGTAACTGTTTGAATATTTAAACTGGGGTCGCAAAAGGTTCTAAATGCCTACATCAAATAGTATGAATTACTAGCAGAGGACTAAACCTTGTGTGTTGATTTAAATGTTGAATAATTATTTTCTTTTTTTCTTTTCTTGTGCCTACATGTACTTTGCTCTTTTATTCTATTTAAATCCCTATTTGAAGGCCTCTGACAGACTGAGTGAGCGTAAAATCACAGTTATCGATAGCCAATGGCAAACAAGTTAAAGGTACTGTAAATTCAGAAATTATTGCGTGCAATTATTAATAAATAAATTTGGTGTATTTACTGTCTTCTGATTGGTTAAAAGTATTACTTTTATTTTCAATGATGTCAATTTTTATGGTGACACGCCCACTCTGAGGTTGTATATTCATAGCCAACATCTGTGTACGTTGTTCATGGTTAATATAAATAATATAAAAAGTTCTTTGAGCCTTATTTTTGATAGAAATTTATTTATAATGAATGGCTATTATTTATTTTGAATTTATTGAACCATAAAATTAATTTTTGACTTCACATTTTACATAATCCGCTTCTCGGATTATTCAATGTGAAGAGTCAAAAATTAATTTTATGGTTCAATAAATTCAAAATAAATAACCATTCATTAATTGCGATTTTGTAATTTTAGACTAAAATGTGATTTTAATTTTTGCGATATTGAGAAAAATCCTGTTTAATTCATATAAAAAATTTCAAAATGCTAATTTAAATTATTGCCAATACAACCATGTTGCATTTTTCGCAATAATAAAACATTGCAATAGTTTCTGAATTTACAGTAATTGAGTTAGTATTATTACCAACATAAGTATTGGGGTTGTCTACGCTGTTATGAAAATGATTTTAAGAACCATCAAAAGAGAACAAAACCATCCGATTTTGTAATTGAATATTCCAAAATCATTGTCTTATACATATACGTGCACTTGCACAAGGTCAATTTCTATCTCTAGCAGTTTAAAGTTTATATAGTGAAGATGATAATGTATAACAGGTTTTAATAAATGAAACATAGCATTATTTTGTTTGTCTTCTTAGAGACAGATTGATCTGTAAAACAAGTAATTATTTTTTTATTTTTTTTATTTTTAGGTTGTTATAATGATGATGATTTCATGGTGTTGGGAGTAAGACTTGGATGTCTGATATTGTTAACATGTTGGTAGGTAATCAAGCATCTTTTTAGTAATATAATATTTGAAATCAATTTCATAAGGTTCATTAGTACCAAAAAAATAATTTTACACTGATGAGATACCGGTTGAATTTTTTTGGTAAATATAAAACCGAGTTTATAATTCAGAATACCAAATATTTTTCCATGATTTTTTGTTATCCTAGTGCAATTTTAAATTTAGTACATGTGTAATAATTTTTTTTAGGAAAGTTTAGTATAACTGGCTACTTTTATATTCCAGATTAGCATCAGGTTTCCATTGGGTTACTTGCTGGGATAAAGCTGTTATAAGGTGAGAACTTATTCATCAACATACAACTTTAATGTGTTTATGTTATAGTGTGATGAATGTCACTAAATAGATTTCAATGTATATATTTTTTTTAATTTACAATTAAAAAAAATCAGTATTCAATCTTTTCATTTTAAAATAATGTATCCTTTAAAGCAGATACTAGATCTGAAGAAGATATATGAAGGGGAGATAACAATAAAATTGGATATTTTTGATACTATATATTTTTGAGTAATCAATATAAGTAATAAACAAATTATTTAACATACACTGATGTCTGTTTCTTTATTCCCGTTAGATTATTTTAAAATTAAGAATCAACAATTGAAATTTAACTTTGTTTCTTTTTCAGTCAAAAGAGTTGCTGTTGCTGCCTTCCTTGTATGGTAAAATCCTCAGACTACAATCCTGTAAACCATTGGATGAACTGTTGCTATCTTTTGTAAAAAAATCAGCAGATATTTGTCTTATAAGCAGAATGAATTATAAATGCAATTAATTTTTAATGCTTTATTATTCAAATTATAAATATTTATTTCATTATTTTTTCTTGCATTCAATTATTGTTTTGTAATTGAAGAAATATAAAAAAAAAAACTGTGAAATTATTGTTATTTGAGAGGTCCCAAAGGTATGATGTATGGTTTCACAAGATACTCATAAGACTTGCTTCAGTTTACATATATTTTTTAAGTTATGTACACTGGTTAAGAATTATAAGTCCTTTGTGAAATGATTTTTTCTGGTTAGAAACCTATTAAGTAGGACTTTGATGGCCAAACACTAAAAGGGAATAAAACAAATCCCATATTAAACAATTTAAGTACTGACTTTTTGGTGCAATATGAACTAGAAATAAAAATGTTTAGTTAGATGGTTTGTTTTGACTCTGCATTCTTTACATTCATACAAATTAATGGCTGTCAGTTTTAATTATTGGTTTTGTTTATATATTATAAATGCATTATTCAGCATCTGAAGTCACTCAAGTGAAAATAATTATATAGTTTTTGCAGTTTGTCATATTTTCTCATTTTTGTTTGATTGATTTCTTTATTTTTTATCATTTATGATTATTTATATTTTAATGTTTGATTTTTGAGGCTTGTACTCAGCTTCTAAACAATTACCTCCCCCTCCACATGTATAACCAGGATCCTGTAAAAGAAGTTTTGATTTTGAAGGATGGATGGATAATTAAAAATGCAAGATTTTTTTAATGTGCTAGTTCATAATGTAAAAGTCTGCACAAGACATCTAACCCTACCTGAACACATTATTCTGACTTCCAGCTGACCAGTCTTTGCTCCTACTCCTAATTGCTGAATGCTTAGCAGGGGAGCATCAAATACCAATTTTCAATTCTTTGATATGACCCAGGGCAGGACCAAATTCCATGCCCATCTGCACTCATGTTAAGCATAAAAAGATTATTAAAGAAGATTTGTCTGTCTGTTTGTCCATCATCATCTCTCATCCACAGCTTATAAACTATTGGAAGGTTTTCATTTAAACTTTCAGATTATCTTCTGTATCTAATGGCTGTGTGTATTTTATTTTATTATAATGAAATTTTGGGGTTCTCAATTGTAATGAATGGACCTCCTAAGTATTTGAAAAAAAAGGGAAAGAAGCTTCTCATACCACCATTTTATCATGTGAAGGATAGGTTGGTTCAAATATATTTGTTTTTAATCCTGTTTTTAGTAGTTGGATCTCATTATGACAAAATTTTAATTACTTAAATTCAAAATAAATTTGGGGTTCACACTGATATATATTACCACTGTAGCTTTAATTTAAATTTTATAAGGCTTTGCTATAACAAGATTTGTGTTTTATCTGGTTTTATCTGATTTTAGTGGTTTTTATGTGATTTTATTTGTTTTTACTGTCAAATCTTGTTATACCAAGCCTTAGTATGATTGAGTTTATATATTTTGATTATGCATGCAATTCAAAATATAAATTTACATAATGAGATCAGACATTTATTATGCTTTTAACTCTTCTTAGTGGATAAAATAGAAAAATGAATGAACATAAATATTGAAGTGGTCGTTGAAGATTGACCAAATTACAAGATTTATAAATGCAGAATCTTGCTCTAACTAAATCTATGTTCTTATCAGCTGAACCAACCTATCCTTCAATATGAGTAATAAAAATTTTATAAATGGAAAAGTCCATTCTTCGATTGTGGAACCTTTGATGTGAAAAAAAAATACACAATGCCAACAGATACTGAAGATTATTTGAAAGTTTAGGCAAATACAATTCAATCCTTTAATTGTGATTGGAAGTTGTAGACGGATGAGCAAACAGATGGTATACTTGCTTACTATGGCACATTTCCTAAAGGATATGGACTATTGGTATGGGTTTTGCTTATGGTTGAAGGCTGTAGGTGACTGATAGTTGTTAAATTCTATGTCATTTGGTCTCTGGTGGAGAGTTCTCTTGTTGACAGTCATATCTCCTCTTTTTTATTTTATATGAAATAATTACTTATTACTTCCTGGGCAAAAAGTTCTGGTTCCAAGAAAATAATAAAAAAAAAATACTTATATCATACATGTATTGTTAAATAACTATCCTACTTTGATATAAAGAATTGACTTTGGTTAGAAATTGGGAGGAATTATAAAGAAACTTTATATACAATATAAGAGCTTGGGGTTATAAATGTTTAATGAAATGCAGTTAACTATTTCCTTGGTGATCTAATAATTTTTGCACAGATCACGATATTAGTTTATTTAAATAACCCAGTAAATAAATTGAGTACACCTCATAAATGAATTTGATTCATGTATTTTTATGCATTTTTTATCTTAGTATTTACCATTGTATTCCTTGTTATATTTGTAAATGCCTCTTTGTATGTGACAAACTGAGGATTCATATATTTTATGGAATTATATAAATTTATTTTAAGTTTGGTATTTAAAAGTATTGGAAAGCACCAAGTTTAATATTGAGCAAAAAAAATATTCCTTTAAGACCTAAGGATATTAAAATTTAAGACATGTATCTCAGAACAGAATTGATTTTCTAAATTCTATTTAAACAGCTAGTCTGGGAACTGGTATCAAGAAACTAAAAAGAATCCTCAGCTCTGTCAGTTATTTTGTATAATTGTAATATTTAACCAATGATACCTTACCCATGATGCAGATCCTTTTCCTCCTTTTACTTATAAAGGGACTAAAAACTTATTATTATTACAATTTCTTTGGTATTTTTACACACTTGATGGAGCAGAATGGGTCTGGTTTCATTTGGGTATTTTATATTATGATGCATGATAATGATATAAATAAATAGGTAAATAAAAATTTAATTGAGAAAACCTATCTTATATTTTATTTGAGTCGGAATGACAAATAAAGGGGGAAGAGGTTTCTGTGGTCAAGGGTAACACACAGCTGATTTATTGTATGGTATGGAGGAAGTTGAAAAAGCGAGACTTGGGCATGCTTTTTCCATAAGCAGCAGCTTCAACAATGTATTTGATTGTGATAAGTTCAAGTTAAAGAAAACAACTAGTGGTAAGGTCAATGATATTTTGTATGCAGTTATATATATATAAGCATTGAAACATCTTATTTCTAAGGAGAATATTTTGCTTCTCTCCCTCAGTCATAGTCGACTTAAAACTTTTAATTAGTATACATGTATAAGTTTGTGATTAGGTCAATTGAAAGGGAACTATAAGTGGTATGTCAATGATATTTGGTATACAGATGTATAAGCATTGACAAATCTCAGTTCCATAGAGATTGTTCAGCTCCAGCCTCAGTCATGGTTTATTGACTGAATGTTTTGCATTATTTACATGTGATTTGTGATTAGATCAGTTTAAGATGAGTGACTAATATCTGATATTTGGTATACAGTTGTATTGGCATTTGCAAGTCTCATTTTCATAGAGATTATTTGGTCCCACTTCCTCATCATGGTTCATGGACTTTTGAAATTTTCAGTTTAACAAGGAACCAATTGATAAGTCAATGGTGTTGGGTATGCTGTTTTATAAGCATTAGCATTTCCATGGTGTTTTTATTTTGCCCTGAACCGTCAGTCATAGTTCATTGCATAGATAACAAGTTTAAATATTGCAATTTAATTTCAACATTTGCATTATACAACCAAAAAACGCAAGTCTTATCTCTGTGTCAACAGTTTATATTTCCATCTCGTAGTATCTTTCAACTTCATGTTTTGAGTTTTAAATGTCACAGAAACTTCTTTGCTAGTTTAAACAAGACTTGACACAAATGATACTTAGGAATTACATGACAGAAATGTTCATTGGACTTGCTGATTACCTGATTGGCTGCCAAGTCTTTAAATAGATCTAAAGTTCTAAAATGATCTAGTTCATGTAAAGGCTCATCAGATACAAAACACAGGGATACAGATCTAGCAGTGGATGCTCCCGATATAAAAATTCATAATCCAGACTGAAGAAGAATGAGTTAATCCATATCTTGTATGCAGTTGCCTTATGGTCTGGTTTAATCTGGCATATGAACATTATCTTGATTCCATTTTTAAGGGTATGTGTACATTATTTGTTTTCAAATTAATTTAACAGTTTTTATGTGTAATAAGCTAGGACAATTAATTCTCTTATGGTTATTGCCTGTGATCTATTTCTCGCATGAAGAGATATATTTTGTATCACATTGCATGGATTGGGATAAGAAAAAGGTTTACGAAAAATTTGTTAATTTGAGTGGCTTATCCTGCACCATTTGGTCATCATTTAGGTTCCATGATTTGGTCTGTTCTCGGTCAAATTCTCTAGGTCAACAATGTATGGTGTACAGAATGATTGTAATGTGAATATGATTGTCTGATGAGATACATCTGACCTTGGCCTTTTTTTGAAGTGTGGTCAACATTAAGTTTTTATAGACTGCAAAACTTTTGCCATTTTATAATGGTGTGGATATGTGGTCATTGTGGTCTGTAGACATATGTTCTCCAGACAATAACTTGAGTATAAGTGTATAGATCTCAAAGAAATAAAACCACAAGGTCCCATACCACAAAAGGAAGGTATGAATTGAATTTGGGGTTATTGCCCTAATAGTTTAGGAATAAAGGTTAAAAAAAAGATTTTCCGGGGTTTCTTGGCAGACCATAACTTGAGAATAAATCCATGGATTTCTATGAAATTATTATACAAGATTTCAAACCAAAAAGGGAAAGTTGGAATTGATTTTGGTGATTATGGCCCAAACTGTTTATGAATTAGGAACCAAACAAACACCAATACTTTATATACATTATTTGTTTCTTGACCAATTTCAATTTCGATGAGAATCATGCATTCTTTGGGTTCTTTAATATGCTGAATCTGTTACCATGTTTGTGTATTTCTGTTTTCGAATTGGTTCACATTCAGGTCCCAAGGGTCCAAAATTAATCTAAGTTTGATTTAAACCCAAAATTGAATTCTTTGGGTTTTTTTATATAATCAAACTGTATATTTAGATATTGGGCCCATTATCAAATTGGTTCACATTGAGGTCCAAATGGTCCAAAATTAAACTTTGTTTGATTTAAACCAAAATTTTAATTCTTGTGGTTCTTTGATATGCTGAATCTACTGGTAACTGTGATCTGTATTTAGATTTTGGATTTTTATCCCTGTTAACAAACTAGTTCAAATTGAGGTCCAAAGGGTCCAAAATCAAAAAATTAAAAATTGTTCATGGTTCAACCTCTGTGGTTGTAACAAACTGTGCCCTGCAGTGCATTTTATTATGATTAGGTCAGAACTATAGTGA